AACAAATGGGTTACCTGACAAACTGATGGCCAAGCCTGGGAATTAGGGCTTTGCAGGCAGGAAGCAGACCTGAGTGTGGGTAACTGGGAGAAGTGGTGGACACTCCTGACCACAGAGGAGGACACTCCTGACCACACCATACAGAAGCCTTTCTCGTCTTCATGCTCCCTGATCTACAGTCAACACCCTCGACTCCAAGCCAGTGTCCTCCTCAGAGAGCAAGAGATGCACCCGGAGAAGTGGGAGCCAGGACCTCTGGGCATGGCTGAGCAAGCTGCACACTGCACGATTCTATTTATACAGACCATGATGAGAACAGTGCAAGGCACTGTTATGCAAGTGTATTTGCATATTGCCTTGGAGTTACGCAAGGCAGTAGCCTTGTAGGCGGGACCACACCATACAGGACCTTGAAGATGGGTATCTGCAAACTTTTTCTGTAAAGGGCCAGATAGTAAATATTTTAGGCCATATAGGCCATACAGTCGCTGTTGAACCTACTCAAATCTGTTGTTATAGGGTGAAAGCAGTCATAGGTGATATGTAAATGAGTGACAGTGGATGTGTTCCAATAAAACTTTATTTATAGAAACAGGCTCCCTGCCAGATTTGGCCCACAGGCCATGTCATGGAAGGATTCTGAACTTCCTTTCAAGAGCAGTGTGGAGGCTGGTCACAGTGGCACATGCACATGTAGTTCCAGCTACTCTGGAGGCTGAGGTGGAAGGATTGCTTGAGCCTAGGAGTCTGAGGTCAGCCTGGGCAACTTAGTGAGACCTCATCTCTGAAATTTAAAAGAAAAAGAGAAAGAGAGGGAGGGGAAGAGGGAGGAAGGGAGGGAGGGAAAGAGAAAACAATGTCGAGCCTTCAGAGGGCTTTCAGCAAGGAATGAGGCATAACAGATTTACATTTTAAATGACTTCCGACAGATCTAACCCCCTAGTGGGGCAGCAGTATTTCTTCTGTTCTACTAGCTTGAGCCCTTCCTTCTGCAAGAAGCTTGACCTGGGCCCCAAGGCCCTCTGATGTGAAGCCTGTCTTAGAAGCTAGAGGTCACTGCTGTCCATTTTCCCGCTACCTTCCTCCCGATACCAGCTCTCAGCACAGGTCTGGACCCTCAGCAGTGCTCCAGAAATGCTGGTTCCCATACTTGGCCCCAGGGCAAAGTAGAACAGCCTACTGGCCAACAGGCTGGGCTTTGAAATCAGAGAGGTCTGGTGCCAGATCCCTGCTCCTCCGTTGGACCTTGTGTTACTGAGCTACATTTTCCTGACCCGTTGTCTCTTCTTCTGCATAAGGGGCATATTACAGACATAAACCCATGAAAGAAAATAGTTCTAAATTGACCTGGGTGCAAATGAAAGACTCAGTAAGAAGACATTACTGATAAAAGAATTTTTTTTCCAAGTCACAGAGACAGGAAGCTTGATTGTGCACTGGGTGGCAGGGACTTTGCTCCTGTGACTCAGTCCAGAGCCAGTCCCTGGACTCCTAGTTACGGCAGGAGCTGTGGCTCCTTACTGCCAAAACGGCCTTGGCTGGTGAATATTAAGGCTTCTTAGAGACGGAATTTTTGTCCCACCCCTTGGGCTGAAAATAATGCCCAACATCAGGGTAATTACATGACTTGGGCTCCCACACAGCGTGGAAAGTATCCCAATAATTACTGTGTACAAACATTGCTTTTGGCAGCTGATACTTACTTTCTGCCTCAAAGAGTATCTCCTGGACAAAAGTCTTGTTCTACTACCCACTCCATTGGACTTGAACCTTTGACTCATGTGAGAAGAGCCTTCCAGAAACCCATCCTGGACAGGGATACCGTGGCCACTTCTATTCTCCCAAAGATCATCTGTCAGGCTCAGGAAACCCCCCACTGACCCTTGGACAGGCTGGGCCTTAGTAATCAGTGGTTTTGCCATAATCTCCTACTTCGCCCTGAGGTTAACACCAGCAACGAGGTGATCCACAGCTCTATCGGAGACACCTGAAACAGAGCTGCATGCTACAGTTGCGAGTCTTCCAGAGTCAGTACTCAAGTGTAGTGTGCTTTGCTTAGAGAGAGAGAGGCTGTGTCCTTGGACTGAACTAGAGGGTCCAACTAGGTCATGGTCCCAGAGGGGTTCTTGAGGACTTACTGTGTGCCAGGAGTTAGGAATAGAGCCATAAGTATCGGGTCATGGTCCTGCCCTCTTGGGGCTTAGTGTCCAGTGGACAGACAGACCTGAAGCTCATACTTATCCAGTAGTTATGTAATTATAGTTGGAATAAGACTATAAATAAGATGTATAGGAGTTATGGGTATACATAACAGAGGAAGTCTGGGAAGTTTGAGCTGAGACCTCAAAGGATGAAGAGTAAGACCGGTGAAAGTCTGTGTGTGTGTGTGTGTGTGTGTGTGTGTGTGTGTGTGTGTGTGTGTGTGTGTGTATGTTTATAATGTCAGAGGTGGATGCATGGATAAGTGGATGGAAGGACAGATTCATAGATGGCTGGATGGATGCGTGCATGGATGGGTGCATGGTGGAGGATGGATGGGCAGATGAATAGATGGATGGGCAGATGAATGGATGATGATGGATGTATGATTGAAATTTCCAGGCAATGGGAACAGGCTATACCAAAGCTCAGAGGCCAGAGGAAGTGCGGTGACTGTAGTTGACAAAAGACTATTGTGGTAAGTGCTTGGAGTTTAAGAAATGAGACTGGAGAGGCAGACATGTAGGATCACTGTGTCAGCTGAGCAAGTTAGTTGTGTACCGCACAATTCCAGGGGATACCAATGACATATACCACCATATGAACAGTGCCTTCTAGAATCATGCAAGATGGCAGCCTGCAGGCAAGAATCACATCATGCAAGACCATGCATGCCATTGTAGAGTTTTGGACTTTATTCTCAAAGCAGTGGTGTATCATGAAAGACTTTTAGCAATTTGTGATGGGGCTCATTTCCGTGTATAATGTCTCAAAGCAGCACTGTCCACTAGAGCATTCTATGAAGATGGAAATGTTCTATTTGTGTAGTTTTCAATATGGTAGCCACATGTGGCTATTGAGTACTTGAAACTGAGCACAGAGTGTTAGAGAAATTGAATTTCAAATGCTTATTCATATAATTGCAAGTAGCCATAAGAGCTAGATGTGCAGTAGCCTGCATATTGGACAAGGTAGCTCCAAAGGATCTGAGCCTCACTGGACAAAATCCTGTCAATTGAACCCCTGCCAACAATGCATCTGGGGCAAGTCTGCTGGGTAGAGGCCTCCATGTTCCCTTCACACAGGGCCTATGTTCACGCTGAGGCCCAGGGTACAGCTGGGACTGTGATCTAGGAGCTGGTCCTCAAGAGGATGGAGCTGGGAGGTCCCCCCTGTCCACTGCTCCTGACTCGTGAACTCCCCTCAGGCCTGCCAGCTTCTTTCCCCCTGGCATCCCCTGCAGGACAGCCTTCTCCTGCCCTTGCCACCCTCTCCCAGTGTGTCCTCATAGCAAAGGCAGACTGATGAGGGAACCACCATGAAGACAGTGTCCACAGTGGACATTGGGGATGTGGGCTTTGGCTTATGTTCCAGAGAAAGTCAGATTTGGTGGGGTTGGGAGAGGTTCAGAGGGGTCAGGGCCAGCCCCTGCCTCCCATTTGTAGACCTGGGCCTCCACTTCAGCTTCATCAGCACCATGACACAAGGACCACACACAAGCCAGCTGTGTATTCAAGTGTGTCCACTTGGCTCATAGGTGGCCACCCCTTGTTCATCCCTCTGGCCTGAAGGTGCACTTGCCCATTAACTGCACAGTCCATCTTTGGGTAGCAGGTTCCAGGGAAGAACCTGTTCTGGCCCTGCACACAGGTTCAGAGCCATTTAGACAGAGGTATAGGGGTGTGGCCTGCAAGGGCAGCCGGAGGCTCCGGTGGGCTCATCCCATAGGCCCCATGGACTCCTCAGTCCACAGGGAGAGACATAGCTGGGAGCTGGCAGAGATGGCCCTTCTGAAGCTTGGGGCCAGAGCAAGGGTCCTAGCTGCCAAGAGGGGGAAGGGACCTTCAGGGCTGGTGGGCAATCTCTTCCCTTCCTTTCCTTTTGCACTTGGTCAGGGGGGATAGCCAGGGCCTGAATGGTGGGGAGGTGGGGGAGAAGGAAGGTCACTATGATAAAGGGAAGAAGAGGGCTGTGCTAGGCAAGAGGGACTCCAGCCTATCACTAGAGTTTGCTCTGTCCTCCCTCACCCCCAGGGCTCCGGCCACCCACCATCCCTGAACGCTTACACATGCACACACAAGTGCATACACAACTAGACAAAAGTTTAGGAACTGGGATGGTTAAAACCTCTGCTACCCTCCTTCCCTAAGACCCAGTAAGGCCAAAGGGACACATTTGACACTCATAGGTGAGCCATCACCTGGAATTGGGACTTGCCATGTTAATAAAAACTACAGCTGCCAAGCTACAGCTCACCTTCAAACCACACCCCAGGCCCTGTGCTAAGCTTCTGGCATGACTCACCTCAATTATTCTTCACAGCGCCTCTGTGAGGTAGGATTAACATCATCCCTGTTTTATTGATGGAAAAACTGAGGCACACATAAGGATACGTCTTGACCAAGGTTGCACATCCAATGAGAATGATGCCAAAATTCTAACCTCCAGAGTGAATGCTTTTGGTACCTAGAAAGTATGCCCTCTGGACAACAAACGTTAGCTCAGTGCCTGACATACAGGAAGTGCCAATAATTGTTAGTTCTGGTTATTGTTATTCATAGTAAGAAAGGCAGTGCCATCCACCTCTTGGAAATCCTAAACCAAAGGTCTGTCTTCTGTGCCTCAGTTTTCTCATCTATGAAATGGGGAAGGTATTAATACTTCCCTCACAGGCCTGTTGTCAGGAGTAAACAAACCTATTGACATCAGGACCTGGGGGAGAGGGTGTCTTACCTGGGCCCCCACTTGCTTGCACACCTAGAGTGTGATGGGAAGCTCACTCCTGTACCCTCCTATTGCAGTACGCTACTTCCTGAAGAATAAAGTCAGCCCTGATTTGTGCAACGAGGATGGACTCACAGCCCTGCACCAGGTAAGGCTGGACTCACCTGGTAAGGCTGGGGGTTCCCAGGTCCCTGCTCCTCCCTGGACAAGTGTCCTATTTCCCCATCACTTTCCTGCCCAGAGCCCTCTGGGAAGAGAGAGGGAAGAGGAGCCACAACCGGCCCATCTCAAGGGCTCTTGTCTGCTTTGGAGACACATGTGTCTGTTCTAGACACGCCCACAGCAGTGTACATAGATGCGTATGTACGGACATGTGTACACACACAGGCTCCAAGGACAGGGAGCTTTTGTTCACTGTATCCTCACTGCCCAGCAAAGCAAGTGGGTTTGCAGCTTGAGAGTTTACGAAGCATATTCACACCCACCAGGAAATCCCATCCACCCTGGCGACAAAGGCAGTTGGTGGGGGTTATGTGATGGCTTTGAACTGTGGCCCTGAGCCACATGCTGTCTGTCATGACACATATCCTCTTGAAGGCAGTGCAGTGGGTCCAGCCCCCACCTGCCTGAGGACTGGCTGCTCTGGCTGTCACTGTTCATGTGGATGCTGCCACAGCCTCCTAATGGTCTCCAGCACTCTCTCTGGTCCTACCATGATTCTCTCTCCGTGAAGCAGCCACAGGAATGCTGAAGCCAAAAATCTACTCATGTTGCTCAAAGCTCTCTGCCGGCTTCCCATAATACTGGGGATAAAGAAAAACCTCCTTGCCACACCACACGAGGCTCTGTGAGGCCCAGCCTCCACCCAGTCCTGAGCTTCCTGGCTCCCTGCCTTTCGGGTTCTTGTACACACTGGACTCCTCCTCCCATTGCACTCTCTGCAGTGCTCACTGTGTTCACCTGTAAGCTCTAGTCTACAGCAAGAGCCCAAGAGCTGCGCTGTGTAGACAAAGCCTTTGTCTTATGAACACCCCTTCTTTTGTAATTAGTCGTTTAGCCACTGACTTGATCATTGATGTTGGCCTCTCCCCCTACTCAGACTCTGAGCTTGTATGGGGGCACAGCCCGTGCTCTTGCTCATCTTTCCCCATGCCAGGATACAGCAGGTGCTTAATATATACATACTAAATTAATGAATGAGCACAGTGAGGCTTCTGTATCCCCTGGCCCAAGTGTCTGAGCATATGGGCTTGAGCATAGCCTGGCAGGTGAGAGGCCAGGTAGCTGGAACCCTGGGATGGTAAGGGTCTCTCCACCCCTATATGAGAGCAACGGTGGATGGACAGAGACTGGTCATGCCCTCCCCATAAGCCTCAGGGGCAGGTCCCCAACCATGCAGTCCAGTGGTTCCCTGTGTATCCTCCTGGCTTCTCCTGTCCCACAGGGCCTCAGGCACCCACTTGCAGGCAGCTGCCTCAGTATCCTCACTGGATCCTGCCCATAGAAACTCCCAAACTCTAGCTCCATTAACTCTAGGGTACCTGAGACACCACCAGAGAGTGGAGAGTAGGTGAGTGTTTCAGCTCGGCCTGGAGTGGAAACCCAAATGGCACTTCCCAGCATGGGTAGCACCACCCAGCCATGGCCATGAAGATCAATTGTGTGGCCACATCCTACTGCATGCCAGAAAGGTGAGGCAGTCAGGCTAAATTATCAGACCAGAGACCTGGAGCTGCCACCCACTAGCTGTGTGACTCCGGGCTCTCTGTGCCTCAGGTTCCTTCCTCATCTTTAAAAGAGGGATAACAAGTACTTATCTCATTGGGCAAATATCCATAACACACTTTGAGTAACACTTTGGATAAATAGTAGTTGTTATTGTTTAAAATCAATCGTGTGACCACTTCTTTGCAAAGCATTTCACTTTGATCCTCACAACATCTCTGAAATACTATTATCGCTGTTTTATGCCTCAGGAAACTGGTGCAGCCTATTCAATAGAATTTTCTACTGTGATGGAAGTGTCCTGTGTACCTACAGTGTCCAGTACAGTGGCCACCAGCCACAAACAGCTGTAGAGCACTCAAAATGGGACAATGGGACTGAGGAATTGCATCTAGAATTTTATCAAATCTTAGTGAATTTAAATAAAGAGTGCTGTATTATACAGTGCAGCTTGGATGAGGAGATCTCTGTGTCCAAGGTCAAAGTAAATGAGTGACAGAGCCACGATTTGAAACAAGGTGTTCCAGTGGGTCTGTGGACATGGCAGCTGCAGTGCTCAGGGCCCCGGTCTCCCCTTGAGTTGCCAACCTGCTGTGGTGACCTCTTGAGTGGTACCCTCGCTTTGGCTGCCCCACAGAATGCCTCTGCTTCTTCTTTGGTTGTCACAGTGCTTCCTGTGTGTTCCTGGCCCCTGGAGGTTTGCAGTCAGGAAGGTGGGTCCCCAGAAGTAAGTTAGGCAGGACCCCTGCTCTCAGAGTTCAGAGTGATGTGGCCACACAGGCACGTGACTAACACTAGTAATGTAGTGTGGTCCACCCTCACACCGAGATAAGTAGAGGTTCAGTGGTAGCTCAAAGCTGGCTGACTCCAAGGGGAACTGAGAAAGTCTTCTAAGAGGAAGGGACATTTGAGCCAGGTCTTGAAGAATAAGTAGGAGCTTGCTAGACAGAAAAGAGTAAGGAAGAACATTCAAAGCAGAGAGAACAGCTTGCACAGAGCCATGAGAAGGGGGCTCAGCATTTCATGTTTGGAGTCTGGAGGGTTTGGTGTGGCACCATTAGAGGAAGACCAGTGGGAGGTGAGACAGGAATGCTGAGGACAAGTACTTGGAAGTTGACTGCTTAGAATTCACTCCATCTCTGTAGATGGATTTTAATCTTGGGTTTTAATCCACCTTTTACTAGGTGTGACCTTGTGCAACCAGACTTCTTTGAGCCAGTTTCCCCATCTGTGAAATGGGATGATAGGATCCTCACAGAATTATTTTGAGGATCAAATGAGGCGACGCATGGCCAAAGCTTAGCAAGGTGCTTGACCCCAGTAAGTTCTCAAAAAGCATTAGCTATTATTATTGATATGTGACATGCCGTGTTGTTATTGCCGTTGCTGCTGGGCTGTTGTGACTGTCATCATTGCTGTTGTCACTGCTGCTCTAGTGCAGCAAAGGAGATGGGGGCACATTAAGAAGTGCGTCACATGCCTGGCAGGGGAGTGTGGATTTTTCTTCTCTTGGCAACAGGAAGCCTTCAGAGGTTTGTAAACTGAGAGCAGCATGATTAGATTCGTGGGAAGCTCTGGTAGAGGGTGTTTGGAAAGGGAGCGGCAGGGAGGCAGGGAGGGATGAAGAAACCTCAACCAGGACAGTAGGAATGGGGACAGCGATTTAGGAGATGGAGTCCACGCCTGGTGGTAGATTGGAAGTGGGAAGTGAGGAGGAGGCGACTGACAGCCAGATGCTATTTCTCACCTTAGAGAATCCAGGGGGTGGTGGGGGGAAAAAGGAGGCCTGCCCACCTACCATACCACTCCCTCCACGTGCACCCCTACACTCAGCCCTCAAGGCAGCCTTTGTTCTGGCTGGGTCTCTCAGGTGCAGACTGGCTCAGTCCCTGGACATCTCTCTCATTAGACTCTGCAGTTCTGGAAGCACAATCCCCTCCCCCTTCAGCCTGAGGCTTCCATCCCCCGCCCCGTGCCTTCTGTAATCTCTAATGGTTGGATCTCTGACCCTCTTGCTACTAACCCCAGAAGCTCCCCACACATCTCCCAGTGACAGCCAGGGAACCTCGCCTTCCACCGCTGCCTTGCTCCAGCGCCTTTGGCGCCCTCCGCCGGCCACGCCGTGCCGCTGCATGGTTTTCCTGCCCGCCTGAGCTGTCTCAGGTCACAGGCCACAGAGTCACAGGTCTTTCTTCACCTGTCTGGAGAGAAGCCCTCAGACCCAGCTATCCCCAGACGGGCTGGCGCAGAAAGAACATGGATAGGGGCACCATCTGTGCCAACGGCTGCTCCTTTCCCACATGTCCTGGAGCTGAGCCTTGGCTGTGCTGCGGGTGGAGGCGGAGCTGTGGTGCCGCCTCATCCCATAGTCACGCCCATATCCACCTGGGCCGTGGACTCACCCAGCTTCAAGTCACTTCTCCCCCATCCCTATGGGTGCTTTTGGAAGCCAGGCCATCATCATCTCATCTGGGTAACTTCACAGCTCCTTCCCCTCCTCTCGCAATGTGCACACACATGTGCGCAGGCGTGTGGGCCCATACACACACACACACACACACACACACACACACACACACACACACACACTCTTACACTCAATCTGTTCTTCACATACAGACAGAGGAGCAACTGTTTTTTAAAAAGCAAGTCTGATTATGCTATCTTTCTGAGTATAACTCAACATCTCCCAGTGCTCTGAGGAACAAGTCCTTACCTGAGACTGAGCACAGGTCTCCCTGCTGTGTCCCCTGCTGGTTTCTCCAGAAGTGACCTCTAGGGAGCAGCCTCCATCTGCAGTCTATAAAGTGCCTCCCTGTCTTCCTCCTCTGTCCTCACCTCTCCCTCCTCATGTCCTAACTAGAAGCTGAGATTTCCCATAGCCATGGGCAGGCACACTTACAGCCTGCAAGCAATGGAGCTGGACTCACACCCAGGCAGTCTGGCTCCACTGTCCTGGTCACCTCCTGCGGGGACTGCACCTGGAGCTGACTCTGCCTGTGTGTCCCTCCCAGTGCTGCATCGACAACTTTGAGGAAATCGTCAAGCTGCTCCTTTCCCATGGTGCCAACGTGAATGCCAAGGACAACGAGCTGTGGACACCCCTGCATGCTGCAGCCACCTGCGGCCATATCAACCTGGTGAAGATCCTTGTGCAGTAGTACGTGCCTTTCTCTCCTACAGAACAGCCATCCCTCCACCCCTTGTCTTTACAGCTAATTCCCTGCCTTCCTCACCTCCTTCCCCCTCCTCTCCTCCCTTCCCTTCTCCCTTGTCTCTTCCCTCCCATCCTGTTTCTTCTCTCTTTTTCTCCTCTCTCTGCCACTCTCCGTCTCTCTTGGTGCTGGTTACTCTCACTTACCATACTATCTTAATCTCTCTCTCTGTCTCTCTGTTTCTCCCTTCCTCCTTCTCCTCCCCTAAATCCCCCTTTTCTGTCTCCATCTCTATGTGCCTGTCTTTTTCTCTTGATGTCGCTTCTTCCCTCTTGGTCTCTCTCTGTCTTTTCTACTCTTTGTCTCTCTTCATTTTCTCTCTCCTCCTTGATTTTCCTTTTGTTCCCCTTCCTTTTTTTTTACTGTGATAAAATACACATACTATAAAACTTGCCATCTTAACCATTGTCAGTGTATAGTTCAGTGGTATTAAGTATGTTCATATTGTGCAACCGTCATCGCCATCCGTCTCCAGAACTCTTTTCAACCTGCACAGCAGAAACTGTGTACCCATTAAACAACAACTCCCATTCCCTGCCTGCCCTGGCTCCTGGCAACCACCAGTCCACTTTCTGTCTCTATGAATTTGATGACTGTGAGCACTTTATGTAAGTGGAATCATGCAGTATTTGTCTTTTTGTGACTGGATTATTCACCTAGCATACTGTCCTCAAGGTTTGTCCATATTTAGCATGTGTCCGAATTTCCTTCCTTTTTAAGGTTGAATGATATTTCATCGTGTGAATAGACCACACGTTGCGTATCTGTGCATTTGCTGATGAACACGAGTTGCTTCCATGTTTTAGCTATTGTGGTAATGCTGCTATGAACATGTGTGTACAAGTATCTCTTGAATCTCTTTTGGGTAAATTCCCAGAAATGGAATTGCTGGATCATATGGTAATTCTATTTTTATTTTTTTTAGAGAACTGCTATACTGTTTCCACAGTGGCTACACTATTTTACATTCCCATCAATGGTACACAAGGGTTCCAGTTTCTTCACATCCTTACCAACACTTGTTATTGTCTGTTTGTTCTTTTTTTTTTTTTTTTGTGGCCATCCTAATAGGTATGAGGCCATCCTAATTTTTTTTTTTTTTTTATTAGTGGCCATTCTAATAGGTATGAGGTGGTATCTCACAGTGGTTTTGATTTGCGTTTGCACAATTAGTGATGTTGAACATCTTTTCACGTACCTGTTGTTCTATTTGTATGTTTTCTTTGGAGAAATGCCTGTTCTTCAAGTCCTTTGTTCACTTTTGACTTTTTTTTGTCATTGAATTTTAGCGTGTCTCTATATATAGCTTTGTAATTAGTTTTGAAATCAGGCAGTATGAGTCCTCTAGCTCTGTTTTTCTTTTGTAGGGTTGTGTTGGCTATTTGGGTCCCTTAATGTTCTTCATGAGTTTTAGGATACATTGTTTTAGTCTGTAAAAAAAAATCATTGGAATTTTTTGTAGGAATTGTATAAAATCTCTCCAAACTGCTCTGAGGATCTTTTCCCACCCTAAATTTCTTTCTAGTCTGCTCATATTCTATAAAAACAAAGAAAGGGCAGTTTTCAATGTCAAGTGTATTCCACTGAATTCAGTTAATAATTGGTGGGCGCCTTCACTGAGCCAAGTCCTGCAATGGGCACTGTGTACACAGAAAAGCAAAGGTCCTGGAAGCCAGGCCGGAAAACCAGGTGATTTAAGTATTAGAGCAGAAACAGAGCAAGACCAGAGGGCTGGAGCATTTAAGTGCAAGGCATCAGAAAGAGTGGCCAAGAGCTGGTGACCTTTTCACAGGTCTTGGAAAAGCTGCCGGTGCTCATTGGTGGCTCCTGGGTTGGATGGACGTGATAGCACTGTTGTCACAGCTCAGTGACATGGACTAGCTTGCTCTGGAGCAGCAGAGCTCAGAGAGGTCGCGGTAGAGGGCTGTCAGGTTCAGGGACTAGGTGGTCCGTGCATACATCTCTCCTGAAGACTTGATAAGGCTAGCCTTATCAGTGATGGTGCCCAGAAGACAAAGAAAGCAATGCCAGCCTGGCTTACTGGGTCCCTGATGCTGGTTCGTACCAGAATCACCTAGGGCATGGGTTTAAATCCATATTCCCAAGCCCCCCCTCCCCCGAGACTCTGTTTCAGGAGGGCTGGAGTGAAGCCCACCCAAGGTGCTGCATTTTATGTCAGTAGTCCCAGGTAATTCTGCTGCAGGGCATCTCAGGGCCATGCTTGGAAAACACAGGCCCAAAGGGCACATTCTTTCAGGGAGCCCGAAGGCACTGTCCTTCCCCTGTCCTGGTCAGCCTCTGAGGTAGGGACTTGGAAAAGGGGTGGAATATAACTGAGCATATGTCTGCATATGGGCAAAGACTGAAATAGAACGTGGAGAGCTGAAAAGAGCTGACATGCGAGAGGCCTGGGTAGAGTGTGGACTCCAAGCAGTATGACCTTGGGCAGATGAACCTGTCTGAGTCTTTGTTTCCCCCTGAGTTAGTTACGGTCAACATTACCAACTTGGGAGGACTATTATGAGAATTAAGTATAATAAAATCATGTGTGTAAAGGGCTTACATCATGCTTGGCTTTAAGCAGGTAAGTGGTGCTGCTGCCATTAATATTATTTTTATTATTGTCACCAGGGTGGACTTTGACATCTGTCCTTAAGTGCCTGCTTGCTGGCTTAAGGGAGTGAGAAGTTGAGGGAGGTCTCCTGGGATAGCTTTCTTAGGACTTTGGTCCCTTTCCACCTTGGGCTCCGGGATCCTGAAGCCATTGAGTTCATGGACTGTGTGGTGGGCGGATCCAAGCATCACTTGCTGGGGTGCATCATGGTGGGGTTGTGAGCGCTAAGGTGGACAGTGGGGGTTGCAGGGAAGAGACCAGAGGATAGAGGCAACCCCAGGCACCTACCTGGCCCTCACCTTGACCCTTTTTCTGCAGTGGGGCCGACTTGCTTGCTGTCAATTCGGATGGGAATATGCCCTATGACCTCTGCGAGGATGAGCCCACCCTGGATGTCATCGAGACCTGCATGGCGTACCAGGGTAAGGGAGGGCAGTCATAAAGTGGGCACAGCCAAGAGTTGTGGGGAGCAGCATTCAGATCAATGCAGGTGGACAGATTAGCGAGCTACATGTGACCCACCTCACACTCAGTGCTCAGTGAGTGGGACCAACCCTCATTAGTATCGTTATCTGTGTGATTATCAAGATTGGCCATGAAAGAACCCTGGAAAACAGGCTGTACAGAAGGGACGTGTTGTCCTCATCCATGTCACCCAGCTGGCCTTGTGTCCTCTTCATCAACTGTGACAATTTGATTCAATAGACATTCATCATAGAGACATATTCCCATGTGGAAAAGTAAGAAAGTCAAGAGCATTGACGAATGCCCTTACTGTGCCAGGCACCATGCTGACTGCCAGGGTGCAGACAGACAATATAGGGCTGTTTTCAGCTCACAAAAGAGGTTCAGAGAGACCTGCCTGTCCCACACCCCATATATGCCTCTGAAGCCCCACCTCCTTGGAAATGCATCCCACACCCAGACCCTTAGCTGCAGCGAGTTTCACCTAGGCCTTACCCTTGTGTTTCTTCCTAGATCACGGTGACCCATGACTGGGTCTCCACTTCCCTGTACCCAACCTTTTCCTATTCATCTTCTGCAGAGTTTCTTAACCATTTTCCTGCCAATCTGATGAATCTATAGACTCCTTCTCAGAATAATATTTTTAAATGCATTTATAAAATCTTAGACTTGTAAAGGAAGCCAATTATATTAAAACATAGCTACCAAAGCATTTTAAATGTGTTAAATAGAAACTTTATTAACTAATTAAACAATGAGATAACATGATATGAAAACACCTATAGTTTCTGTTGGTGACAAGGTCCCAGGCACTGCTAATACTACTATGGGTTTTGCTTACAGAAATGCTAAATTTCATTTAAAGCTCAAAGTAAACATACAATGTTTTTTCTCCTTTTAAGTTTATAGACCTCTCCTGAATTCTGTCCAAGAGCCTGATCTAATGGATCTTTTTATAGAGCATGTCACCCTCTCCTTAAATACCATTAGTAGCTGCCGGTAACAGATTTTTAAGCCAGGGATTCAGGCTATAAGATACCTTTATGGGCTTCTTTAACTCAATTTACTCAATTCTTGATTCGAAAATAATATATTCATTAATTCGGTCATTCTTGCAATAAGAATTTATTGGCCATTGTGCCTGGTACTACAAACACAATCATGAACGAGATGAGGGGAACTAGCAGAGACCCTGGTCAGATGGAGTGGTCAGCGGAGGACAGCTGGGCAGGTGATTCAGTCCAGGGCCTAAGGAACAGGGCAGAGCCAGTCATTTGAGCAGTTGGAGAGAGGTAGGTACATGGAAGGGACTTCCAGATAGGAGAAAGCATGTGCAAAAGTGACCAATATCAATGCAGTGCCTACTAGTGCTCAGGCAGAAATGACTGATATTATTACAGGGTCTACTGGAATGACTGATATCAATACAGGGCCTACTGGGTGCCCAGGCGCAAATGACTGATATTAATACAGTGCCTTCTGAACGCCAGGTGAGAATGACTGATATCAATACAGGGCCTATTGGGTGCCAGGTTGGAAAGACTATTAATACAGGGCCTACTAGATGCTGGGCAGGAATGACTGATATTAATACAGTGCCTACTGGTTGCCCGGTGGGAATGGCCCTCACTCTGTGGGTGTGGTGTCTGTTCTTGGACCTGGCGGTCAGAGATCTCTGGGCAGGTCTGTAGGCCTCCTTGACTGGTGGACCCTGGGGAGCAGGAGCTTCCCCCATCTGCCTTCCCATCCTTCTGGGGACCTAGGCCTGCTAATAAATCCCCTCTCTCTCACTGCAGGCATCACCCAAGAGAAAATTAATGAGATGCGGGCAGCTCCTGAGCAGCAGATGATTGCAGACATCCATTGTATGATCGCAGCAGGCCAGGACCTCGACTGGATAGATGCCCAGGGGGCCACACTGGTGAGGAAAGACAGTCTGGGCTGGTTTGAACTGGTGGCCAGAACCAGAACTAAGACCAGCAAGGGCTGAAGTGAGCCAGCAGCTCGTGGCAGCTACACCTGTACCCTTGGGGCCTGTCTGTGACCTTCGACTTCCTCAAGAATCCTCTAGGGCCAGGATTACCCCCTGGATGTGGAGAACCAGCAGAGCAGGGCTCATCCTCTTTAAGAACCTGGCCACTCAAGTAGGGCTGGGAGGCAGGGGCCACAGGTGGGAGACCTGACTTCCACGTGGTCACCACCTGCTCTGTGTCCAGGATCCTCCTTCACCCCAGGCTCCAGGTGTCCATCCTTAGCTTGTTATTCCCCCTTCTCTAATGATGTCCCCTGCTAAGGACTGGTACCACCACTCACCAGCTCATCCAGGCCATCTTGCTTTGGACTGTCCATTTCTTTGCTTTAGTGTCTCCTCTTCCAGCCAACACCCCACTTCCTTGCCTCATCAGCTTCCTTGAGATTGTGGCAATAGCCTCTCCTCTGAGTTCCGTGACCTCAAAGTCTGGACATCCCCAGTCATCAATCCATCCATTCATCTGTTTGTCCTTCCATCCATCCATCACACAGATATGAGCACCTCCTCTCTGTCACATGCTTTACTAGACCCTAGAGACAGAAACAATGGAATCTTCTCTCTCAAATCTGTCTAACTCCACTCATCCTGGCAGTTCAAGTGTTAATGACTTGGGAACCTTCCCCTGACCCTCCTCATGGCTCTCAGAGCACACTGCAGCCAAGTATTGAAGAGGGTCCACTTCTGCAGTCTTTAAACCAGAAATAAGAGCATGGCCATGGAAACCCACCTCCCCCCCACACACACACACAATGGCAGGGCCCTAGGCTTAGACTCCATGTTGGTCATGAGTACCGAGGGGTCTCCAGATCTTGTGCTTACCATGTAGGGCTTAGTAGTACCAGGTTTCCCTCACTGCCCCTCAGGCCGGACCTGGTAACCCAGTTGTGATAACTGGGCTTCTCCCACCTGGGTTCTGAGTTCTACCCTCTGCTTCATGCCCATTTCTATTAGCTGGGTCCCTGCTTGCATCATCTGCTCAGTCCAGCACTCAAGTATGTGGTCAGAAGTTCTCACTCATAAGTGGGCCTTGATCACTGGTCACATGAGCACAGGGTGGAATCAGCAGATGCTGGACTCTGCTAGGGGAGAGAGAGAGAGAGAGAGAGAGGAAGGAGGGGGGCATGTGGAAACACACTGGGTACCTGGTCCACTATCAGGGGAAAAGAGGGCCAGCTAGAAGCCCAAACTTCGCCTGCGTGCAACTTTTTAATGTAGTAAGTCCTCACCTCTACCCCACAACTCTAAAATTTAAAAAGAATACTACGTAACTTTCATGTTAAAAAAAAGAATATTTTTTTTTCTTAATTGTATCTACAGAATTTTAATTGACTAAAAAAAGGAATGCAGTCAGGTATGGAGATGGAATATGCTGTCGTCTGAAGTCAAGGCCAAGCTGCACTAGGGTACCTCCCACCCTCGCTGGGTCTGTCACTAGGTATATCACTGGGCCCTTTAGACACAAAGGTCTCCTTCTGGGCTGAGACTGGCCTCAGGATGGCCCCATCCCCATGAGCCAGGCAAAGATGAGGCCTCAAGTCTTACCCAGTAAACTAGAGATCATAGTATCTTCCTCACAGGGTTGTTGGGAGGATTAAACGAGATTCTGCATGAAGGTGCTTAGCACAGTCTGTAACCTCTCAATAGATGCTAGCAATGATAATTATCATTACTAGTGATATCACTATTCTACTCATGCCTTTTTATTTCCAGCCAAATACTGAGGTTTGTAATGTCTGACTGGCCAGCCAGGTGGCATTCTGCACAACTGGCAAACATCAGACATTTATAAATCAGATTATTATACTAATTTCCACATGTGCCTGTGCCACATCATACCACGGATTTATTTTTCAGAATTTTTTAAAGGAAATAAAGGAAAACCTCCATTTGCCAGAACTTACAGCAACCCTTCCCAGGATGAAGTGGCATTTGACCATCAGGATTGTGTTTCTGAAGGGTCACTGCCTGGAGCTGTTCCTTCTCTGTCCCACTGACTCTGCTACCTCATAGCTCAGCTTCCCTTGAGTTCCCTGGCTTCCTCCCAGACAGTCTTCTGTTGTACTTAAGTTCTCACCCCTATCTCCCATCTTGGCTGGGCAGTTGGTGTCTCTCTGTCTCGTCTCCCTCTCTCTCTCCTTCATTCATTCTCATAGTTCACCTTGTCATCACTAGAGCTCTCTCAGACTGTTAATATGTTACTAAATGTTCATTGTGTGCTAAGCACTTTATGTATTTTATGGGAGATTGAACAAGTGGGGCAACTGAGGTCTGCTAAGCAGTAGCCATGATAAAAGGCCTTGACTGGGACCTCAGCATTCCTTGTTGGGGGAATTAATTAGCTATTGCTGCATGAGAAACTATCCTACAATTATTATCGTCTTAAAACAATAATAAATACCTGTCTCACATAGTTTCTGCGGGTCAGGGAATGAGAAACAGCTTAACTGGGTGGCTCTGGCTTGGTGCTTCTTGTGATATTACTCCAAGATATTGGCTGGGGATGCCGTCTTATCTGAAGTCATGACTGTAGTTGGAGAATCTGCTTTCAAGGTTGCTCTCTCGCATGACTGGCAAGTTAGAAAGCTGGCTATTGGCAGGAGACCTGTCTTTCACCTCCTTAGGACCTCTCCTCAGGGCTACTTGAGGTTCCTCACAACATGGTGACTGCCTCCTTCTGGAGTGATTGATCTAGAGAGCATAAGGTAGAAGCAGCAATGCCTTTTATGCCCTTGCCTCAAAAATCACATATCACCACTTCACAATATCCTATTTGTTAAAAGCGAGTCACTCAGTATGGCCCAAGTTCAAGCGGAGGGCAATCAGTTTCTCTTTTTTAAAGAAAGATGGGTCAAATAATTTGTAGCTGTATTTTAAAACCACACTCTTGAACCTCTGAAACCTCTTCTCCAGGGCTCAGAACACCATAGGGGCTCAGCAAGTACGGTTGCCTTAACCAGGTGGGTGCTAAGACCAACCACAGGGAGAAGAGCTCACCTGTCTGCCCCTCCTTCTAGGTCCATATTTCAGGCTTAATGTCTTCTGCCATAGATGGTTATTTTCAACTCACCCTGTTTCATTTTGCTGGCCCAAAGAATGCTCTGAGACTTGGGTGGGGATGAAGGATCTCCTGCCTCCATGGGGCCAGTCCCCTAAGGAATGCTTACTTCTTTCCTCTCCTTCAGCTGCACGTAGCTGGCGCCAACGGATTCCTGCGGGCAGCTGAGCTCCTCCTGGACCATGGAAGTGCGTGTGGATGTGAAGGACTGGGATGGCTGGGAGCCCCTGCATGCAGCTGCCTTCTGGGGACAGGTAGTTCCTACCCACAGGGCTGTGGGGGAGGCCAGCACAGGGTTATCCTGTGGTTGCGAAGTCCTCTGGGCTGGCAATAGGTTCAGAAGGCTCATTGAAGGTGTTGACTACTGCTAGTATGTGGGTTATGTAAAGGCCTAAGGAGTTTGCAAAAACGTTTGGCAGGTTGTGCCCCCATGGAATGGTAATCACATTTACCAAATTAGAAAATTCCCAGCATTTGTGCTTTGAGTAGTCTCTCCCTTTGTTTCCAGATATAAAACTCTGCCTGCAGCTTATGCAGTCTCTCCTGATATCTGTCAGCTCTGGAGTTTTAGCTGACTTCTCCTGTGTCTTGTTATGGCCCAGGCATACTGGAGGAGGTGCTAAGCCCAGTGCATTTGCCCAGATTCCCCCATGACTCCAGGGTGCAGGTCTTCTCTGGGAATCAGCTTTGCCCCACCATTCCTTGAGCCACATCCTAAGAGGCCTTGGGCACTCTCTCCACTTTTTAGGTTTTTTAAGCCCTGGGCAGGTGGAACATGGGTTTATTCCTGTGTTTCAGATGCAGATGGCAGAGTTATTGGTGTCCCATGGAGCTAGTCTCAGTGCAAGGACATCCATGGATGAGATGCCAATAGGTGAGTCCAATACAACATATCAGCAGTCATCAATTTTTGATGAGTGGAGAGATAAATGGATAGATATATGGTTGGATAAATTGATGAATTGAGGCATAGATAGATGGATGAATGAATAAATTAGTGGATGGTAGATTAATGGACAGATGGAGGGATGGATGTATGGATGGATGGACGAGTGGGGTAGATGGGTAGATGTACAGTTGAATAGATGAGTGGATGGATAGATGAATAAATAGATGGATGGGTAAAGGACAAATCTATGGATGGATGACTCAATCACAAATAGGTAGATAAATGGATGAAGATGGATAGAGTGGGTGGGTTATATGGATATCTCAGCATCTTCACAAAATTTCTTGCTTGGGCTGCGTGGGGCACCTGCTTTTTTCTTTTAATACTTCTCATGTCAGTGAAAACTTGATGACTCTTCTTGGAATCTGTCAAAGAGGAGTGTGAACCTCTTGGTTGTAGCTGGGAACCTTAGGAGTTGTACATGGAACTTGGATTTCCCATTCCCACAGTCCTCTAAGTATTGGGTCATAGTCCAGGAACTAAGGCTGGCATTGTTCTCTTCCCTCCCTGCGTGCCCAGAAGATGCCTATAGTTTTCAGTAGGTTGGGGCGGCAGTTCCTCTGGTCTGGAGCACCTTCCTGGGCCACAGGCCCCTCCCCTGTCCCGCACAACTGACCCCTTTGTCCCTTCAGACCTATGTGAGGAGGAAGAGTTTAAGGTCCTGTTGCTGGAGCTAAAACACAAGCACGATGTGATCATGAAGTCACAGCTGAGGCACAAGTCATCTCTGAGCCGGAGGACGTCCAGCGCTGGCAGCCGTGGGTAAGTCAGGGGCAGCACAATCAGGGGTCCCAATGCATACTTCTGCCTGTGGTGCCTGGGCACAGACTTCAGCACTGCCTCTGTCCCCCTAGGAAGGTGGTACGTCGAGCCAGCCTATCGGACAGGACCAACCTGTACAGGAAGGAGTATGAGGGAGAGGCCATCCTGTGGCAGCAGCGGAGTGCAGCTGAGGATCAGAGGACCTCGACCTACAATGGGGACATCAGGGAGACCAGGACAGACCAAGAGAACAAGGACCCTGTGAGTGGCCTCATGCCCCGCCCCAGTGTCAGCCACTGCCTTGGGAGGAGGGCAGGGCCCCAGCCCAGTCTTGCATCTTTATCTGAGGGCCTTCTGAAGGAAGTAGCTGGGCAATGCCCTTAAAACAGCAGATCCAGTCTAATGGTGGTGGCTCCTTTAGTTAATGAGGTGACCCTGGGTTTGTTAGAGGCTAAGCTGGGAGCTTCGGCACACAGGAAGGTCTCCTAATTGGTAGGGAGCAAGTAACTGCTGTGACCCTGCCTGATCTAGCTGATGGACTTCCCAGAAGAGAGGTTCAATAGGGCAGTGCCTACCTGACCTAGCTGTGGGCTTCCCAGAAGAGAGGTTCAGTAGGGCAGTTACCCAGGAGCTGAGGGCAATAAAACTTTTTTGGAGAAGAAATAGAACAAGATGTTGATAATTGTGCTTATCAAAACACCTGTGACTAGAAGAAAATTTTTGAAAACTGGATATAGTCTCAGAAAGACCTCTGGGAAACTTGCCCTAGTAGCAGCCGGTGGGCCTGCACTTTGAACTGCCTTCCTAAGAGTAGTATGTGTGTTTGTTTTCTGTGGTTGCTGTTATAAATTTTCATAATCTAGGTGGCTTAAAACAGCAGAAATTTATTATTTCACAGTTCTGGAGACCAGAAATCTAAAATCAAGGTATCAACAGAGTTGATTTCCTCTGGAGGCTTTGATTTTTTTTTTAGAAATGAAGTCTTGCTATGGGCTCAAGCAGTCTTCCTGCCTCAGCCTCCCAAAGTTCTGGGATCACAGGTGTGAGCCACTGTACCTGGCTCTGAAGGGAAATCTAGTCCATGCCTCCCTTCTAGCTTTTGGTGGCTCAGGCGATCCTTGGCTTTTGATGAAATGACACTAGTCTCCGCCTCCATCTGCACAAGGCTTTCTTCTTTATGTGTCTATATCTCTGTTTTCTCTTCTTCTTTGGATTGGCCCATGCCAATCCAGTATGCCGTCTTAATTTAGCTTATCATTACTGCAGATACCTATCTCCAAATAAAGTCACTTTCAGAGATTCCAGGTGGGCATGGATTTTTGAGGGATGCCTTTCAGCCCAGAACCAACTCTCTCGGCATGATTGCTTTCTTGCTGAGTGGGGTGAACAAGTTTAGGGCCAGAGTGGAATTGCAGAAGACAAGATGGGAGGAGCTAACTGCATCAGGAGTGGTCTGCTGTTTGGGTTTTCCTCCCACCCCGTGAATGATGAAAAAACTTCTAGAGAGTGTAGCTTCGGTGGGATGTAATTGATTAGCTGCTGATGTGTCTCAGTGGGACCTGCTTTCACAGTGTGAACAGTGAGGTCACCCACCAGCTGTCTCATCAACAGAAGGGAATCCCCATCAAAGCTGCCAGCTAGGGATGGAGAGAGCACACAGGGAAGCTTTGTTCTGCCTGGTTGATGGTTGGGCAGGGGAAAGACTTGTAGATCAAAATCACAACCTGATTCAGATGCCTTCCAGCTATGCTTCTTGTGCTTTTTCTTTGTGATTGAGGCTTAATTGCAGTAGACACATCTTAAATGTTTTCAATGAATTTTTACAAATGTATACACTCAAATACATAGAGCACTTTCATCACCCATGTCCCCTCTCAGTCAGCTCCTCCCCATCTCAGCCAAAGGTAGCTGCTATTTAACTTTGAGCACTGAAGGTTAGCTTTATATATGCATATGCCATATGCATGGACCCATGCAGTTCATCATTTTTTGTATCTGGTTTCTTTTATGTCTGTGAGAGTCATCCATGTTATGGCATCTAGCAGTAGTTCATCCTTTTTCATTGCTCTATAGAGTTTTATTGTTTGAATGTTACAATTAACATATCAGGCCAGGCTCAGTGGCTCAGCCTGTAATCCCAGCACTTTGGGAGGCTGAGGCGGAGAGGATTGCCTGAGCTCAGGGGTTCGAGACTAGCCTGGGCAACTTGGTGAGACCTCGTCTCTACAATAAATCAAAAAATAAGCCAGGTGTGAAAAAAAAATTTGCATATCAATTCTCTTATTGGTGGACATTTGGGTTGTGTCTAGTTTGTAGCTACTATGAATAAAGCTGCTATAAACATTTTGCACCAGCCCATCAAGTGTGGTGTCACCCACCTGTGGTCCTAGCACTTTGGGAGGCTGAGGTGAGATAATCACTTGAGCCTGGGAGTTTGTGACCAGCCTGGGCAACATAGCGAGATCCCATCTCTGTAAAAAACAAAAACATTAAAAAAAAATTTTTTGTATTGTTTTGTACCTTTAGTGGACATAGGCATCATGTTGTATTGGGTGTACATGGAGTAGGCATATGTTTAGCTTTAGGAGATACTACCAAACACTTTTCCATCAGCAGTTGTAGGAGTGCTTCTTACCAACCTTTGGAATAGTCAGTCCTTTTAACTGGAGCCATCCAGGGTGGCTCCTGTAGTTAATGAGGTGAACCTGGGGAGTGTTAGAGGCCAAGCTTGGAGCTTCAGCACACAGAAGGGCCTCCTAATTGGCAGGGAGCAAGGGTGGGGAGGTCGCTGTTGTGTTTTGAAATTTGTATTTCCCTGATGATAGATGATGTTGAACATATATATTTTCATAGGTTTATTGGCCATTTGGTGATCCTTTTGGGTGTGGCATCTGTTCTTTTGGCCTTTTTGTTGGGTTGTTTTTATTTTCCTTGTTGATTTGTAAGAGGGACTGAGATTCCTTAAAGAAATCTTCAAGGAAGGAGTCCCTCCTCCACTCTTGCTGTGTTCCTGTGTTTGTTCAAATCTCACAGGTCCCAGGACTCCCCCAGAAGTGCTCATTGATGTGGAGTCTTAGAAATCGTTAAGCCTATAGGAAACAGGGCAGGGGCAAATGGCAGTTGGGGACCACCCTGAGTTAGGCCTGATCTTGTTGTTGTTCATTTCCAAGGCTTCCTTATGAAGGATGCAGTTTGTTTGGGGTTAGGTAAGGCAAAAGGATGGGCTATTTTGCCTCTAAGGCTGGGTTTTTCAGGGCGAGGGAAGAGACAAGAAGGAACTGAGATGGCATAACCTTCTGGCTGGGGCAGGCAGGCCTCACCTTGGTTACCCTGCAGTCCTACCCCAGAGCAACTCTCAGGACCTAGGACTCCGGATCCCAGGCCCTGCCCCCAGGAAACAAGGCCATCACAGAGCCTTGCTACAAAGCTCCACCCCAACTCTTCTTTCATCCTTTTAAGGTTTTAGGTCCTGGGAAGGTGTTTTCTAAAGTAGGAATTCTCAAAGTGTGGTCTCTGGACCAGCAGCATCAGCATTACCTGGCAACTTTTTAAAAATGCAGATTCTCAGGCCCCACTCCGATGTGGTGATTCTAACGCACATACACATTTCAGAACCACTTATCTAACGGAGTATTTGTTCAACCTGACCCCCAAGGCAGGCTCTTCCCTGTTAACCCTCAGGGATGACTTTAGTTCATGCTTTGGCAGAACTGACTCCCTGGTACCAGGCACAGCAGTGATGGTAGCCCTAGTCTCTTCAACTGGTGGTTCACAAACTCAGCTATCAATATAATCACCTGGGGAGATGTTATTGCTGTTGTTTAATCCTGATGTCTAAGTAACCGTCCTGAATGATTAAATCAGAATCTCAGGAGTTGGGACCTAGGCATTGTGTGTGTATGTTTAGCTAAAAAGACACTTTTGGAAATTGTTGTAGAATACTTCGATTACCAAACTGGCAAGGATCTCAGAGGTCAGGGAGAAAGGAGTTTGTTTTCAGGGTGGAGGACAGAGGCTGGAAGGACTGAAGGTGAGGGATGGAATAAGCAGGTCATATGTCCCCAGGCAGCCTGTTTCCAGAAGCATTTTCAGGAGAGCTACTCTGCTTTATGGTACTTGTTTTACTCTCAGAGGTGAGTTAAAGTTCAGGACCCTGTAGAGAGGAGAGCAACTTAAGACTGTCATTTAACAAGCATTTCATTTCAGCTGGTAAGTGCGAGAAACAGTTCAGCTATCACTGAAGAGAAGTAGAATGAGAATTCGGGGGACTGTGTCTGAGTTGTCCTAGGAAAAGGAGGGGTCATCCGAGTATTCTAGAAATCACATGGGAAAGGATGATTCTGTACAGTGAACCCTTCCCCAGAATACAAAGGGTATGGGGCTTTCTCTAGTCTTCCTGTTTTCTAGTATCTCATGGTTCACATAAAGTTCAGCTTTGTGGAGATGATTGTGTGTACTACGGAGGTGTTCTAGGATCTATCGTGTTCTTATCTGTACAGTGCTCAGCCCATAATTTATGCCTTGTTACGTACTAGGCATACAAACGCTCTTAGATGTCACTGGTATCCTCTCTTCCCTCTAACCTGCATTCTTCATGCTGTGACTGTTCTCTCTACCTTCAGAGCTCTCATTTCTGACACTGAAGATGGATATATGTGGTTTGTTTTAACTGGTCAACTATTTCTTCAAGCAGCTTTAGATTTAAAGAAAAATAAGTGGAAAGTACAGATAATTTTCATATACCCTCATTATGCCCCCCATTTCTAACATTTTCCTTTAGTGTAGCATACATGTTATCACTGATGAGTCAATATTGATACATTATTATGAACTAAAGCCCATGGTTTACATCTTGTGTTGTACATTCTGTGGGTTTTGACAAGTGCATGATGTCACATACCTATCAGTATAGGACCATAGAGAATGCTTTCACTGCCTAAATATCCCTGGTACTTTACTCATGTTTTTTCCCCAAGCCCTGGCAAATACTGATCTTTTACTATCTCCCTAGTCTTGGCCTTTTCCAGAATGTCATATAGTTAGAATCATATAATATGTGATCTTTCTTTTTAGGCTAGGCTGGGTGGCTCAGCCTATAATCCCAGCACTTTGGGAGACTGAAGCTAGTTGATTGTCTGAGCCTGTGGGTTCGAGACTAGCCTGGGCAACTTGACGAGATCTTGTCTCTACAATAAAATAAAAAATAACCAGACATGGTAGCCGCATCTGTAGTTCTGGCTACTCGGAAGGCTAAGGCGTAA